CAATGGGACTATCGATAGTATCGATATATTTTTTTTTTTCTTTTTTGACTATTAATGAGTATTGATAGTTTTTTTTTTTTTTCAAACAGATCAAAACTATCGACAATGTGACTATCGATAGTTTGACATCTTGCTCATTACTACTCTGCATTATGAAATAACGACATCGAGTCGGGTTTATTAAAAATAAATTTGACTACAGTACTATATTAGTATTAGTTGCAATAAAATACTAAGCTGTARATTTAAGTGACGGTTCCTTCCAAAATKAAATCGGGGACAGCAATCCATCATGTGGGTTCATTTCTTAAAAATAATTTCCCATACATACCTTTTCGTACGCAAATGCGCCAGCGAACAAAAACCAAAAGATCTCGGAAGTTTGGAAGCATTTCCAACTAAATGCTAACAAAAAAATATACAAAATGCATTAAGTGCCAAAAATTATATAAAACTAGTGGAAATACTTCCAGCTTAATGGACCACCTTAAGCGTGCTCATCCACTGCACATTGATTTGGCCAGAATGGTTGCTATAGATCAGAGGTGGGCACTCACACATMTTGTTACATTTGTACACGCATACTATTACTATTTGTGTGTGAAGCAGCGAAAGCACGAATTTGAGCATGTCGTGCCAACAGTGTACACTGAGTCTTGCAAGTCAACGTACAAATGTGCTATTCATGATTATTATGTATTGTTATTACTTTTTATTCTTATTATCTCATTATTATATTATATTATTATCTCATTATTATTATTTAATAAGACTATATTTTCTATTTCTCCTTAGTAGGTCTTAATCCGGAGGTCTGCTAAATGCTTGTCCGACATTCGATTTCTTTGTTTGTTAAGTATAAGTTTCATCRACGAAAAGGCAGATTCAGATTCAGAGATTGTATGTCGATCCAAACATAGAATACTGTAAATCTGATCCTTTGATATAGATTTCTATTACTTTTTTCAAATTTAAAAGATTTCCATTTTTTATCTCATTTATTAGAATTTGAATTTTCCGGCTGAAAYGGTGTACTGTGGTTACTAATTGTGTTATTATCTTGTGTTTTCCTTGAAGCTGTAAATTTAATTCATTAAATAATTCTGTTATGTCGCACAAAAMGCCTAGATAATACAAAAAAAWTTTATTTTTTAGTTCTAAAACGAAATCCCCATTATCTGCAGACATATTTTGTTCAAAAAWTGTTAAGATTTCATTCCGTAAATCGAACAGGCGCTGAAGGTTCCTCCCACGGCTTAGCCAATGAACACCAGTATATAATAGTACGTCACCGTATTCCGCTTTTAGATCCTAAAGAAGCGTTTTGAATTTTCGGTGGTTTAAAGAGTGGCCCCCTTTAATTCTTTTTTTAATTTTAATTGATATATTCATTGCCCTTTTCAAATAATCCCCTTTTGCGAATAACGCTTGCTAGTGGATTATACAATGAAAAAAAAAGAACCTAGAAATGATTTTTTAATAATTGCCCTACTAAGCCCTTTTTCGATCCCACCATTACTTTGGCCCCGTCCGTACAAATTCCGGCTAATTTATTTTTATCAACGAAGCAGAAGAATTTCTCCACCAAAACATTGTATAAAATTTCACCGGTTACATTGCTATGCAACGCAATAATATCAAACATTTCTTCGAAAGTTTGAAAGTTTTGATCGWCAGTTTTTACACAAATTATTAGTTGACAAATACTATTGAGACCAGTACTCTCATCCAAACTGAGAGAAAGATATTTGCAAGTTAGCAATCTATTTTTAGTCTCAGAGTGGATGAATTTGCTTAAATCTTCAGTAATACGTGTGACAGTACGGCAAGATAAAGGTACTTTTTCTGTGATTTTCAAAACTTCTTGCACTTTTTCACCAAAACATTTCAAAACTTTTGAAGACAAATTTAAGAAAAAAAGGCCATCTTCAAATGGGCGACACTGCTTTGCYAAAGCCAACGCAGCAGTAAAAGATGCCTTTATTAAAGGCAAATCAATATCTTTATTATTATTTTTACCATTAACAGTTTCAGTTTCAGTATCATTATTATTATCATTTGCAATGAATTTAAAAAAAAAATTCTGCTTGCTATTGCAAAAGCATTAGCTTCCGCTCACCTCCAGTAAAAAATTCAAAATTTATATAGCAAGAGAAATAATGTCGGCTTAAACAAAATTTAGAATTACGACCAACAATGTCGTAACAAATAAGACATTTTGCTCTTCCATCCAAATTTTCTATAAAGAAAAAATCTTCTTCCCATTCGCGCATAAACATTGTTAGCTCTCACTGTATATTTGAAATAGCGCAGCGTGGTGTTGCTTGAACAAGTGTTTGCATGCGATTGTTTTGCTTCCCATAGCCACTGGTATGATATCATTCAGTCTTCATTGTGCCGAGGGCTACCGATCGTTCGTGTTCTATAAATAGCGTAATATTTTGTGCTGCTCGTCGCAGCAGAGGCCCTATGCCCACCTCTGCTATAGATGTACAACCATTTCGCCTTGKCGAAGATTAAGGATTTAGAGAGCTCGTTCCGTRTCTTGATCCTCGATATGAACTACCATCTCGAAATACCATTCTCAATGTTCATATACAAAAGCTTTATGAAAATGGTAAAACTAATTCACAGGCCATTCTTAACGAAACCATTCAGCTGCAAACATTTCAGTATCGTTGCGTGAGTGCCTGCAAAAATGGAATATATTCCAAAAAGTCAACTGCGTGGTTACAGACAACACTGTATCAATGATTAAGTCCTGTGAACTGCTTCAGAAGAGGCATCTGCCCTGTTTCGCTCATTCCATCAATCTTGTAGTACAAGACCTTTTGTTTACTGAAAAAGTAAAAGCATTATGGTCGAATTGCAAACGCATATTTCAAAAGCAGCACTATTGCATATGCAAAATTAAAGAAAGAACAGGGTAGTGAAAAACCATCATTGCATGGGGATTGCACTCAACGTTAATGAAGCTTCAATCAAAATTGAAAACTTTTGTTGGATCGGAAGCACAGTTGTACTTATGCGACAAAATTAAATAGAGGCTGTTTCCATATGAATTCAGAAGTGCTACTAGATTAGCCACCTTGTTAGATCCGAGATTTAAAAAAGAAGGGTTTCAGTCAGGTMAAAATGCCGCCCAAGCGTMTAAGTTGCTCGAAAACGAATTGGTTGAAATAAAGAGAATTGCAGCATCGTCATCGAATGACAAAAGGGAGGAGCCGTCGGTATCAAAAAGCGTTAAAATTCCACATATTTATGAGTTTTTGACAGAGAAGCTATCCAGCAAAGTCAAATCCAACAGAGCGGAGCTGTCATCGCACTACGCGAATACACTGAAAAACCCAATGAGCCGCTAGATGTAGACCCATTGGAATACTGGAAGGTGGCAATGACCATTTTGTGTAACGCTTATATAAACAAACATTTATCTCAATTTCAGACTAGRTCGACTGAAATGAAGTCAATGCAAATCATGGCATGCAAATATTTGTGCATTCCGGCAACTTTAACGGAGTCTGAGCGTATGTTCAGCAAAGCTGGAGAGTTAGTCTCAGACAGACGAACAAAACTGAAGGACAAAAATATAGATATGTTGTTATTTGTCAACAAAAATCACGAAATGTGCTAATATTTATCTCTTTAAAACCACTGAGTGGCTCTTTGGTCTCCGTTTTAACATAAACTTAAGCTTTCAACTTATGTTGACAATGAATTTATTAATGTTTTTATTTTAATATGAAAATAAATATGAGTTATTTTTTTCTAGAAAAAACAGGTTGTTTGCAAAGCAGTTGATTTTTTTCAAGATATTTTTTTATGAACCTTTGAAGTACCATAGTACTATCGAGTCGATAGTATCGAAATTTTTTTTTACTATCGATGAGTATTGATTTTAACTTTTGAAACTATCGATGGTGCGACTATCGATAGTTTGACACCTCTAATATATAGCCGTAAGATTAAGGTCACGACACCCGATTTTTTTGTGATATTGTTGTAGCTTGTAACTGTGGTGTAGTATAAAATTCTAGAGCATAGAGGTTTAAACGATTCCTAATCCATATTTGGTGTACGGCCCTGAAATATTTTCGGATTGGTCGCTGACTTCGAAGGACTTAATGGACGAAAACACTCCAGCTCTGAAACTATTCGACGCAGTACCAAGGAAGACCTCCACCCCGTTGGAAAGACCAAGTGGAAAAGGACCAGGCTTCGCATGGAATATCCAATTGGCGCCACGTAGCGAAAAGAAGAAACGACTGGCGCGCTGTTGTTAACTCGGCTATACTCGCGTAAGTGGTRTGTACGCCAGTAAAGAAGAAGAAGAATCAAATCAAATATTCAATATAACATACCGAAAGATTCAAACGAGAACCGTGAAAAACTGAGCGTCAGCGAATACCATACCCACTGCAGCGGCAAACATAGGTGTATCGTTAAGTATATGTATTTAATCGTAATTTTTAGTTTTAGAGCTTAGTATATAGGTCTCAAGGAATGTAAAAAAGAAACGCGTWTTCGGCATTTCTTTTTCGAAGAAATAATTCATCAACAATTGTTTCTTGAAGGTTAAAATCTTTATTATAAAGTATAGTTTAGTTTGAAATGTTGTATAAAACTTACCAATTATCAACACCATTCCTTAAATCKCAATTAAAATATTTATGTTACTACATTTATTTTCTTTGTTTATTATCTCTTGCTCTTCTGATGTGGATCATTCACAATCCGTAACTAGCTGTCAAAATTGGTTCTGCCACTAATCGCGTAAAAAAAATCGCGTAAAAATGGTTAGTTTTCCAATATTAACTGACGAATTGGTTCCGAATATAAAAAATATAGTGTATAACAAAATATTGGGGAAAAAAATATTCAAAAACAACACAATAAGTTTCAAATTTCAGACTTATGATTTATTCATTCATAACAAAATAAAAAATACAAAACAAAAACCATCTATAAAAGAGAAGAAAACAGAAAATAGGTAGATTTATTGAAAAAAACGTTGAATGCTGTTTAATCACTGTCATTATCCCTAGTTGAAATTATTCCTAACCGCTTRTTTTGATGGCCGGCACTGATATCACTAGAATTTTATCAGAATCAGTAGTAAGAAATATGGATTGATGTTCTGATTGATTTAGCATCTCCGACTGCGTTTGCACCATAAATTCAGTTAATTTTGTTTGAATGCTTCTTTTTGGACCCAATAATTGCCGATGTAGTTCTTTATATCTTAACATGTAGAGATTCAATTCTTTTTGAAAACTTCGTGCACGTTCWGCATCAGTATCATTTGCAACAAAATAATTTTCCAATTCTGCTGCAAGTATAAGACCTTGCTTAATCGTCTCTACTTTAATCGGATGCTCGTCTATCTCGGTGTCGCTACCATTTTCCGATTCGATTACTTCCGTAACTATTTCAATCAAATCGTCATCATCGAGCTCTCGGTCTAGAAGAATCTCGTCAATATCTTCTCTCGTCATATCTGCAAGAATTTCTCCTCCCGCGGAACGTGCTAAATCAATGATATCTGAATAATTAGTTGAATTGCTTGTTACGGACATACCACTTTTAACAYATTCTGGCCAAAGAGATTTCTAGCATGCATTTAACGTAAGTTGCCTTATTTCAGAAATTGCTTTTGACGCGTACAAGATGCAATCCTTGATAGAAAATTTTTCCAAGCATCGGTGAAGTCCGATTCAGGATTTTCCTCCAATTTTTTCCATAATGCACTGAAAAGTTTTTTTGAGGTATTACATTTTAAAAGTCGCAATAATGAATTGATCCATCGGTTGGATAATTGATGTAGTATTCGGTGGGAGAAAAATTATATTTACATTAGGATGTTCAAACAACGGTGCATTGGCGTGTAACCACCTTCTTGAATAATTTTTAATAACTTTGGTGGATAGTCCTGCGCAGCTTTACTATCAGCTGAAACAATTTCACCCTTAGTTTTTAAGTTATGAAAATTATGTTTTTCAATAAACTGGTTTTCGACATCCACCACTAGCTGAAAATTCGTTTTTGTTTTCTTGGTTCGATGTTAATCGATAAAAATACGTAGAGTTTTTTATTTCATTGTTGCAGTATCAACTGGGATTCGTTTCTGGTTGAGATCCTCAATCCAAATTGTTAATAGGTTTTCCATTTCTTCAATAAACACATTTCTTGAGTATGAAGTTTCTTCGCATTTACATTTTTTCCGGAAACTACAGATTTTCTAATTGCATTTTCACTCTTTTTTATTGTCCGCACTGTAGATTCACTGAGTCCAAGCCTCTTTCCCACATTTGTTGGGCCWGCTCCCTGCTCTAGATAGTCCAAAACTTTTATTTTTGTTTCTAAAGAAATGCCTTTGCGTTTTTTATTTTTTCCTGAATTAGCTTCCATTGTAAAGCTAGCAAAAATTTAAATTCCTTATTAAAATTTTTTATTATTTTTATTACAAAATTATAGATATATTTTAAAGTCTTACCAAAACAACTGCACCAGCCGCTAACTAAATACATTATAACTAGATTTGCAATAATTGATACACATAGAGTAAAAGTTTTTTGTTGGGACTTAACCGTATTATATTTGTTGGAATACCACATACATAGAGTAAAAGTTTTTTGTTGGGACTTAACCGTATTATATTTGTTGGAATACCATGCTTTTCTTTAGACATCCTAAACAAGACTGACTCTATGTCGTTTTCTTCCTTTTGTGCTTACCGCCGATCCACACTCGCCGATAGCGACGCCACCCTGTCGCCCCGCTAAAATGGTACTTCTTGAAGAGACGACTCGCAAACAACCAATCACAACACAATCAACGGCTGATGCAATAGTGAGGAACTTAGTCTYTTAACGAAATTCCCGAAACTGTATACCCACACACTCACATACGCATACCAATATCCACACGCTACTAGGGTGCGCCCACATATTCAAAAATTATTACGCGTAAAAATATGTAAACAAGCAAAAAGCGCCGTCCAAGAATTGCGATCGACGGGACAAGGACACAGACGAGTAGGTACTTGTGGCATTTACTACAGTGGCCATATAAAGGATCGCAAGTATGGTGTGATATTCGTGGTGGGAGAGAGACTCCGTCGCCGAGTACTATCGTTCACTCCGGTGAATAAATGTCTATCCACAATTTGCACCAAATCGAGGTTCTTCAACATATCACTGATTTACGCCCACGCCCCGACGGATGAGAAGGCCGATATGACCAAAGATGCCTTTTATGAGTGCTTGGAGCGCACTTAAGAAAGCTGCATTCGCCACGATGTCAAAATCGTACTTGGCGAGTTTAACGCCAGGGTGGGCAAAGAAAGTATCAGCCTCCACCACGAAACATCCCCAAATGGGATGAGGCTGATCAGAGCCCGAAATATGGTTATCTGTAGTACTAGATTCCAGCATAAAAAGATACATCAAGCTACATGGCTGTCTCCGGATCGAAAACCCACCAACCAGATCGATCATATTGTGATCGACGGAAGACATGTCTTCAGTGTTTTAGATGTGAGTGCGCTCCGAGGTCCTAACATCGACTCGAACCACTATCTTGTTGCAGCCAAGATTCACACGCGCCTCTGTGTAGCAAAAAACGCACGCCATCAAACACAAGGAAGGTTCGACGTCGAGAAGCTACAATCACAAATATGGTCGGACGAAAGCATGCCCAACGATTGGAATTTAAGTGTGCTTTGCCCAATTCACAAATAAGGAGACCCCACAATCTGCGCTAACAACAGTGGGATTAGCCTCTTCAACATCGCATATAAGGTTCTATCGAGCGTATTTTGTGAAAGATTAAACCCCACCGTCAACAAACTGATTGGATCTTATTAGTGTGGCTTTAGACCTGGCAAATCAACAACCGACCAGATATTCACCATGCGCCAAATCTTGGAAAATACCCGTGAAAGAAGAATCGACACACACCACCTCTTCGTCGATTTCGAAGCTGCTTTCGACAGCACAAAAAGGAGCTGCCGTTATGTCGCAATGTCTGAATTTGGTATCCCCGCAAACCTAATACGGCACCAAAGCTCCGTCAGAATCGGGAAAGACCTTTCAGCACCGTTCGATACCAAACGAAGTTTCAGACAATCGTGCGACGTCTGCAATAGGGTGGGTCGATTCCGGACATTTTTCGATTCGGGATTTCTAATAGTGCGGAAAAGTTGCCTTAGTACTTCCTGATTCCAATGCAACTTTTTGTTTTGAGATCGGATTGCATCTTCAAACCCAACTCCGGCTGATTTCAATAAAACTTTTTGTTTTGACATCGGATTGCGTCTTCAACCCCAACTCCGGCCTTGAAATTTCGGAAAATCGCCTAAGCTCGAGAAATTTTCTACCTAGCGCCTAAAATACGCATCTCATGGCCGTAGCACGAACCTTTCCCGAGATACGAGCGAAAATGCACCGCGCCACAGCACAAGGTGAAAATTGTTGCAGCTCTCAGCTAACCTGTATTGGTCACCCAGAACCCACCGCGTGGAGGTGGCTACACTTCGGGTTCCTCCCAAGCCCAACCCAACCAACCAGCCATATGTCAGCCTTGTTTTAGTCTGAATTTGTGTCAAATTTATTGATAAAATCAGATTTTGTACTAAACTTTGGCACTTGTTGCCTAGATTTCAGTGTAGAGCGTATAAAACGATCATACGATCACGAGATTGGATCCCAATAACTTTAGAAGATGCCTCTGTCACCAGTTTGACGGTTCTCTCGACTGTTACGGTATGAGAGGGGAATTCACTAAATTTCCATTCCTCTGCAGTGTCACCCGACAGCCTTTTTATGAGTTCTTCGTTAGAAACTGAASAAAGAACTGGTGGAAGAGTCAAGGTCAGACTCTGCTTCTCTGGCTGCCAGAAGACGGTCAAGGGCCAACTTTCTGACTTCTATCCGTTCGTCAGTCTTCATACTAAGGAGAATCTTTTCTGGAAGAGCAAAGCATTCTGTTGAATAGATGAATCGACAATCTTGCGCAGTTTATCAGGTAAGTATCTCGACCTTTGAATTACAGCATAGAGATGGCGCGAGCCATCTTTGATTGAACTGTTGAATCTTATTAAGAACCACAAAGGTGAGTAAACTGTAAGTATGTACTTGACTAAAATCTTTATTGCCTTTGTTGGTTTGTCAGTAGAAATGTATAATATCAGAATTCTATTTGCACAGGTGAGCCAGCGAAATTTGCACATGGTACTTGGATGCATCGACACTAAATCTGAGGAACATTGACCGGAAATAACAGCTTCTGATATTTTGTAGAGATAAGCTTGGTCTGTGCTAAGTTGGGTCAGCTTAATAACCTCAGAAGGTAATTGGCAGGATGGAAAACTTTCAAATTTGACAAAAGGCAACTTCTCGCAATCAGGGAGCAGTTTAYCTATGTATGTCGCCAGAGAATGTACTTGAACTCTTTGAGACACCATCTATATGTTCGAAAAGAGCACGAAATGGAAGTTCGTTGAAAAGTAGAAGACAAACAACCCACTGCAATGGCCTACCGATTCTTTCTTCTAGTTTCCGAATGATTCCACCTTTCCAACCTGTGTTCGTGTTGGTRCCATCAGCACCGACAACTTCTAGATGTTCCACATCAATTGAATTGTCTTGTAAATGGTGCCATATAGCTTGGATCTCATCSTCAGCTGACACGGAAGGAGAGGTGACGTGGCCAAAGTAATGACAACCAGTTTCCGCTATAAGATAAATATGTTCCTTATTGACAGTGTCGCGGTAGTACTTTTTACTATCGCTAACTTGTATACGCGTATTGCCTTTGCGGCCCCCAAAATACAGCCCATATGGAGTTTAACTCCAACACTTTTTTTTGCCCGACTAATGTTGCATTTGTTAGTGACAAAGATAGCCTGATCCTCTGTTATCAAACCTGCTTTTTTGGCTTCCAGAAAAGCAGATGAAACAATCAAGGCCGCTTCTCTATCACTCACTCCAAATCTTTGGGCATCTAAAGCAGTATGTTCYAATACTATTGTGTTTTGTTTGGTTTTAGAGGATGGAGGAGAAAGTTCATCATCAGCATCGTTTTTGGAAGAATCCATATGCGACGCACATACATTGTTGTCGTCTATATGAGAGCCTGGCTGATCTAAATGGTCACGTGTTTTAGCTGATAGTTTTCTGGTAAGTGTTGATGTTGAATRACGTTTTGAAAGCTTTTCTTTACGTTCATTTTCCTTTGTAATCTTTTTTGTTTCAGGTARATCAACACTTCCAATGCGACCAATTCTTCTGGTTCTCTGGTCCAAGAGAAATGGTTGTTCATTGATAGGAACTTTCCTTTCTTTTGGACAAGTGAAGAAAAATAATGCATTTACAAGCAGCGATGACAAATAATTTTCCGGCAGAAGAGACAAAGTCGTCTCTTTTAGAGCTCAAACCTATAGGTTCCTTAAAAACATTTGTTTAAGAGTCAGAAATTTCTTATGGCATGTGGTGAACATTTGTATAACTCTGGTGTGTGAAACTATCGGAATAGATGACTTTTTGAAAGTATTTTCAAACTTTTTTGCAACTATTTC